GAAAGGTGTCATTGGAATACACCGAATTGGGAGAGGATTTGGAGTTGAGGAGTGACGAGGAGAGAAGAAAAAAATAATGAAGAAAGAGGGAGGGAGGGGGAGAGAGAGAGAGAGAGAGAGAGAGAGAAAGGTGTCATTGGAATACACCGCGAAGGGACTAGAGGACCTCTTTGGCGAACGGCGGTGCCGTCGATTAATTATTTAATTAATTAAATACGCGACGATTAAACCCTGCGACAATAATTATACCGCAACGAGCGTATCGCCTTGGCATCTTTATAGGAGCGCCGTTCGACGCCGTGGGTCTGCGTGACCCAGGAGTCAGCGCCGTTGTGTTTAAATAATAAGTGCCTAAATAATATTCATAACGTTAACAGGGTTATCATCGTTGCGCGTCACGTAATTATTATTATTAATAATAATTTACAGGCTTTCGCAACTGATTAACGCCAGTACATTGTCATACAATTGTACTCGAGATACAAAAATAAGCTACTCTTTGATTAAGGCGACTTAAATATTACACGCTTTATACAATTTTGAAAATAACGCTTGTAGTTCAAGCGACAGCGATAATAATAATGGTAATGATAATGATCATAATAATAAACGTAACGTTGTCAAGCAGCGGACTCTTCTTGAAAAGTCAAGAAAATTTTTATCCCTTCGACTAATGCTTTTACTTTTTTTTTTCTTCGTTCCGTTCATTATTATCCCATTTCCTTGATTTCTCTTTAGTTTGTTTTTTTCTTTACAATTTTTTCTCCCTTAACTCGACGATCACAATACAAAAGTAATGGGAACACGTAATAAATAGATATACAATTATCTGTATTATTACTCCTGGCTATTCTTTAATTTCGACGACTCAAAGTTGATCGTCGCTAATTCTCAACGCGCGACAGGAGATTAAAAAGGAATCGCGCGTCACGCGATCAAAACTTGTAACGTAACGTCGTAACGCGATGGGCGAAAGTATGATACGTCTGTCTGGGACCCGCATGATAAAACACGCACCTCCTTTCTTGCGTTGACCCGAATTTTTCGCTCTCGTATAATAGCTAAAGGTCAGCGGAAATTAACATTTGCCATCGGAACAAGAAGGAGTCGCTCTCGTTCCCCAAAGTCTGGCAGATCGTTCATCATCAACTATAGAAAGTGAAACGAGAAGTGAAATCAATTGCGTGCAATATACGATATTACATTCTTTTGAACCAGAAACACACGAGTATCGTTGTAGCATAAATAGAAAATACGTTTCGTGGATCGAAAATAAATATCAGGCCAATCACTTTAATTAGCCCGAAAGATACTTTAACGTGTATAAATTAAAAGAATTCACGTAAATCAACGCTTAACGTGATGAATATTTTTTTTTATCATATATAATTATCGTATAATCCTTTTTGTTTTATGTACAGAAATTTTGTATCGACTTTTCATAGTCCTTGAAATACGGTCAGCTTTGAGATATAGTGTAAATTGAGAGGTAACGTCATTAATCGGTTATCCCCGCGATCTACGTATACCAATGAAAAATCAAACGGATGAAAGTACGCACTGACTGGCAACGATAATAACGGAATTCGCAAGCGAAAGTCAAGAGTCCAATAACGAGTGGGAAATATACGAGTGCCGATCCTGCATGCGCAAACTGACTAGTTAACTCTACCAGAGAATTGTACAGTACTATACGCTTGATGGATCCCATTTACTATTCCACCAGGATTCAATATGGATTCGCTGAGTATTCACAGTGGTGACAGATATTTAAAGTCTTTCTATTTCGAATATTTTCCTCTCGCGGAGACTCTAGTAAAGTTTTCATCCTTGGAATCATTGAAGGGTCCTCTGGTAGGGGTGACAGGATCACTGAATCTAGTTTTCGATACGTTGCACACGATATCCTGATCATCCAGGTCACCTTCGAAGAAACGGCACATTTCCCGCACCGGCAGTGACTTATTTCCACGATTTAGATCATGCAACGACCTGGCACGTTGTTTGCCACGTGGACTTGGCTTTGACGTGCTCCTACCCAGGTCCTCTGTACTCCTGGCGAGTCTACCGCCGAGCCTGGACAAGGATTCGAACAGCGTGAGCTTATCCCTCACGGGAACATAGTGGTCGACTCTCTGACACCGTTCTAGTAATCTGGCCACGTCTTCTTCGCGAGGTTCCACGACAACGGAGAGCGAAGTCGGCGACCTGGGCAACTGCGTCGTACAACTGGTGTCTCTGGTCTTCGTTTGCTTGGGTACGGGAATCCTTGACGACGACGCTAAGCGTTCCTTACGTTCCTGCAGAGTCTCCAAGGCCGAGGAAGAATTCGATATCTGCAAGGACGTTCCGGAATGTCCTTTCTCGCGTACACTTCGACGTTCCCTCGCGCGACTTCTACGTTCACCCGAATCAGTTCTAACTACAGGATTGTTGTTACAGTTGTTGTTGGTGTCATTGTCCTCGAACCGCACTGAGCTCTCGATAGGTTTGACAGGAGGTCGTCTACGGGACGAATCATTATCCGATGTCCTAGCTCTGAAGTTCTCATGACGATCCGAGTCAGTTACTGACTCCCTCGTAGGTCCGAGGCGTTTCCTGGCTTCCTGGTTATCGTTAGAATGGCAACCTCTGGCTGGCAATACATTATTATTCTCTTCAGCTCTGGCACGTCGATTCCTAGCGTCCTCCTCGAGGACTCTTTTGCTTCTGGCTTCGTTCTCGCGTCTTCTCGCTTCTTTGTACCGCTGTATCCTTTGTTCCCTCGTTTCCGACTGACTGAGAAGACTCGGGATGCCAATTATGGAATTTATGGAATTCACCGAATTGGCAGAATCCACGGAATCGACGCTCGACTGTCCACCGCCCCAAGGAAGACTGTCGTCACTTCCTTCGCTGCTCTCGCTGCAGCCCCAGGTCCTGCCAAGTGGTTCGGCTTTCGTTCGGATAGTCGGAATACTACGAAAGTCACCGAGAAGATCCTCGTCACTGGAATTGCTGGACCAGCCGCGTAATTCGCTCTTGGCGCGTCTTCTGGTCTCTTCCAAGATGCTGGTACTCCTGTCAGTGTCGCAGGGCGAATCCCGAAGCCAGCATCGTAATTCACTTCTGGATCTTCGACGCGTTTCCACGGGACTGTCCGGAAGTGGTACTGGTCCTCTGGGACAGATCGTCAGGATCTCCAGGAAGTTGAGACAACGTTGAGCCCGGAATGGAGTTTGACGTACCAGCTCGGCAGCTATCGCTCGGACCCAGGACCAATAAACAGGTTCAGTATCAGCCTAAAATCAAAGAGATTTGCATTACAAAAAAATTCCGATTTAATAATTTTATATAAAGAAAATTAAATATACAATATAAATAATTTGCATCGTGGTACAGTATAAGACAAGAGGTATCATGTATACACATAGTATACGCAATAAATTCCTTAATATCTATAATGCATATTCCACACTTCATACTCTGATTTCCATATGTACATTCCGTTGATGGCACGATATACGAAACGATTTAATGTCATTGATTGCAATGGCGTTACGCAACATTAGCTACGATGGGCTCCGCGCTTTTATACTACTGAAACGACAGTTTATTCGCCCTCGCGAGATTCTCTGTTTCGGATAATGGGAAAGTTACTGACAATAACGATATATATTTAAAATAGCTACGCCCAGCGCAGTTCCGCGTTGCCCCAAAGATTGAGCGTGACACACGATTTTGCCAATTCGAAAGTTCGACCGACGACCAAGAGACTCCCTTGGAATTTACTCGTTAGTCGGAAAAACTGGTAGCACGTTAGACATGCTATACATAACGATAGTGAAATTCCCTGATAGGTGACCTTTATTGATTCGAAGGTATACCGTGAATGACGTGTAATCCTTTTATCTTGCCAAGTCTAAGATATATATTGTATATATATATATATATATATATAATTAATGCCTCCAGTGATAAATGACCTTATAAAGATTCCCTCGGGGTAAATATGACTGTCATCCTCAAAGTTCAAAGCCGTGTACCCGGTATGTGCCGAATTAGAGGATAATTCATCGGGCATTTATAATCTCTACGTCACATCGCAATATACTGGCAGCAATAAACAAAGCAGTAACTTTTATTTTTTTGTTACAAGGGACACGCTTCAACCCACTGCGAGATAACCATAACAGGATGGCAGGACGAAGTGTAATTCGTTACGCGTATCTATCGTAACAACGTAGTGTGCGGATTTGCAAAACAAAGTTCTGTCATTATGGTAAAGCGAATTATTATTAAATTAACCAACGAATCAAGAGGATTATTATGCTCCTCGTGGCGTCCTTGGCGTGACTAATCCTGACAGGCAGAAACTCCTGGACAATGGGTCATGGGAGAGTGGTACCAGCACTCCCACGGTTTATCATCTCTCGGAGCGCGTCCCGGCCTTGGCTACAATCCCGGAATTGGCGTTTAACGTTGCGTCGACATCCCACTTACAGTGCTTGGTTCGCTTTATCATTTTCATCCTATTTCATACAATGGCGAAATCGTGGAAAGAGCTCGTTACACCTAGTGGCGAAGTCACTTTTAGTCGACTACTTTCCATGGTTAATGCAAGACCCAGTGTCGTCTCGTGGAAACCGTCAAATATTCATAAAGGCTGTATAACCGGTCATTATAATAATTCCACTTACCATACGGAATTTAATTAAACTCGCGAAAGATGACGATAACGAGAAAAGTGAAATTTATTGTGAAAAATTGCTATCGGTACTATTTCAATGATTTAGAGACGCGTCACCCGCTACGTTAATTACGTCGATTAAATTAAGCACCGTGGAATACAGGCGTCAAGCGACGAAACACATTTTTACTTCGTCCCGCTACCGTAAAATCAGGCTGGTACGAACGCGCGAATTTCACAAGCGTAACAAATTATGCCAGAGTTGTGATCAGCGTCAGATATGCCGTCTTTCGATCAATTAGAAATTGCAGAGACCGACGGAAGGGGAACGAAGTCGACGTTCGAGAAAGTGTTTACAGCGAGGAAACGGATCGTGTGGAGGATAGAGGCATTTGCATGCAATTACGTTGCCTGGTGGTGCAGCGAATTATTTCTAGGATTACAGCTCCGCTACCATCGGACTTTCCTCTTTACTTGTTTCGTCTTTATCAGTTCGAGCATCGCCGTTCGCCTTCGCTTCGGCATTCCCGGCCGACAGAAGTGACTGGAATGCCAGCAAACGGATGGAAGAGTGCCAAAGCACGGTTCGTGGGAGCGTTCACTCGTAAGGACGCGGCCAAGTTCAGAGAGCCTGTCGTAGGTCAGGACTCGTCAAGTAGTTCAGGTCGATCGTGCGATTCAATTTAAACTTACCCAGAATGTCGCGAGAGTATCGCCCTGCGAGTTGCTCAGGGTGAATCCCAATGCTAGCACGTGAGGTTGACAGACACTGGGTGCAGCTTGACGAAGGTTCAGAGCTCTCAAGGGAAGTCTCATTGGCGTACCTTCCACCCACAGCCAACCCATCCTGATTGATACGACCCTTCGCTCGCCTAGATCCTCCACGTACAGTTCACCTGGAACAGACAAGGATAAAATGACTTCAAGCTGGCTGCTTTGGCTGAGAAGGCTGCTTTGGGTCGGTGGCCTTGAATATATGATTTTTATTCTATATGGTTATCGTGAAAAAGTATGGTAAAAAAGTTGACTAATAGATTGTACCTATCGACGTGAGTTCAGAAAATGAGCGGAACCGTGAAAGAGAGATGCTGCAGGAGACGTGACATTCGAACCGTGAGAGTATTCGATTATGGCATAGGACTAATTGCAAGTATCGTCGTAGTCATGATATAAACAAATACTAAAAATAGCAAAGTAATTTCGTGAATTGATTTCATGCAATAATAAAGGTAAATTCGAAGACCTAAATTTTAATAATTAGGCTCCAAAAAATATTTCCCTGTTGCAACGCCAACGTACCTGGGGCACGTAATATGCCATTTCAATAAATCTGTTGTATATTTTACGATCAACAAAAAAAAATTTGTAAAATTCTTCGTCGATAAATAACGATTTTCTTTTTGAAAAGTTCATAAGAGAGTGATCGGGAAAAAAAAGTAGAAACTAAGCACGCGAACAATAAATGACAATAACTCGACCTGATGTGATACCGCCGCGAAAGGGATTAAAACGAGAATCCAATAAGACAGGGCGTATCGTTTAATTATCCGTAAATGCGTGGGAGTCAAAAGATTCCATCGCTTTGCCGTAGCTCGTTCAATTCACGTAATTGAGCCAACTCGAAAACAGTACTTAGCGCTGCCCACGAGACGAGCGAATGGGCTCCGGCGAGTATCGAGCGCGTTATTTTCGTCGACTCAGAATACGAAGAGATTCTATAGGGCCTCTCGGATCCTCAAGCACTTAGTCGTCTTATATCTGTCCAAGATTTCGTCACCGTGTTGCTATTTTTGCCTTATGGTGAAACCACAAGGATGTATCTCCACGGTAGACAGATTCTATATCTATATACCTATAGGATAACCTCTAAAAATAACCGACGAGCCAGCTGAATCCCATAAAAATATACATGGTGGTTCGCTATGCCATTTTATTATTTACGTCCCACCAACTCCTTGCACTTCCATCACGGTGCTGAATGAATATTTTGATACCTCGCGACGTCCTGCATGCTGGACCGTAATGCCCTACTGCAGCAATCAAACCTGACAGAAACCTTTGACGATGCCATATATTTCCTCCTTTAACCCAGCCAGAATATTTCATCATCGGTACACTATACTAGCAAGGGTTAGCTTTACGATGCCCCATGAAAGTGCTTTACTGTCGATATGGAGAGGCTCATAGTTTTACGTTATCAAGCTGCATTCTTTTGATGAGTAACGCGGTAGATCCTGGCAGGTAAAAGCGCAGACCCGGAATACGCTTACGGTGGTTCTTTAAGGGTTGGTGTAAGTTAATGTCCTTCCCAAGTGATACACATAAAGTTTTACGTGTTAAATACTGCTCGTTAATTATTGTTTGCGTCTCTTTACGAGTCTTTGAGTTTCTACACGCGATATCCGTAGCTCTGAAAAATCTGCGTGCCGAGAATTCATATAATTAATTGAGTATGCACTACGGAAAAAATATATGACACGCGACGTCAGGTGGACGCTTGGCGTCTCGAATGACATTGCGGTCGTGATGTGCGTTTACAAAAAAATGTTTTACACACTCGTTTAAGCGCGCAAAATGCTCTCGGGCTCTATCCGGAAAACCACGAGGTACATAAAGAAAATCTATATAACGTGTATCTTATGGTATATAGGTATATAAGTATACGGATGCCTCGAAGCATATTATGTCTGATTTGATCTTGTCGCAATAAGCTTTAATTATTTGAACGTTTAGTAACCCCGTAACCTTTGTTTCACTTTCGTTCTGTCTCATCTCAATTTCAGGTTACACGCACTGTTACGTCGCGCACCCCGTGACTGACTGAAACAACAAGGCGCCTACTCACGAGAGCAACTGATCTGATCTGCTCCAGTTTGATCTCTGTAACGCCGGCTGCATCGTACCAGTCTGTAAAACAACAATTGGTTAAACAAACAGAAATACCGTTAGATCAAAATCAGGCCATTTCACAAGCAAACCGGTCGCTGCGATCACGGGGAGCTCGTTACCGGCAGCTCATAATCGGAGAACGAATAGCGATGTTGAAATAGGCCAAGTTATCTTGGGAGTTTATTGACCACCCGATGTCGCGTAAATGGAGGAATTGAAAGAGAAGTGAAAATTGAGGAAAATTTGAAAAAAAAATTTGTTGTATAGTACTATGTTACGTTTTTGTTTTTACAATGACTCAACAGTCATGGGCTTGGCTTACTAATGATTTCAGGATTAACCTAGAGTAATCAGACAGATTAGATGGTAATCTGAGTGATACGAGTCGTTTGTACTTGTACGTATGACTCTATTGGATTTTTGATATAGGATTGACGAGGCCGAGTTAAATCTTAATGGAAGAGTTTATCTTCTCCAGATCGGTATAATGCGTATGACGTTTGACAGTGCAAGCATTGAGTCGGTCAATAAGACAATACTCGAGTAATGTAGGTTTACGAGGAATGCGGTTTGCGAAACACGTGGGAGGGGCTCGAACTCTTCGGCCTTGCTGATTTAAGGCGACTGATCTTGTATCTTTAGTGTACGTACAATGAGCACGTACGAGTTTACGTATCGACTCGTAAGGCATCGAAAAACAGTTTTTGATCTTTACCGTTAAAATACGAATTTACGACACGGAATTGTCTAAGGACTATTTTATGTTTAATTTTTCTATAGCAATTAAATATTTATTGCTGTTATATTATTATTTTATTAAAATACTTTCATTTTATTGAATGTGGCTGGAGTCAGTGCGCATGTGAATTTACGTGTAAAGCGTATCCCAGAGAAACTTGATAACGTTGACGTAACGTCATTGTTGCAGGTTTGACAGATTTTGCAAAGTCGTCAATGACTTCAATGTCGACAATTTATTTTTATCGGATAATTTTACAAATTTTCAAGAATCGTGACTCTTATATGCTAATGATTCATGATATGCATTTTTAAATTGAAATCTATGTAAGGACGTGAAACTAGAAATTATTACAAAATTTTGGAATTTTCTAAATCAATTCAAAGGATTTTCATACCATAAAATAGTTTAAATAATTCACGGACTACGTCAGTTTTTACAAAAGTGTAGTTTTTATAGTTAACTTGGGATTTTCTTTTTCGGCTTTTTTCAAACTCATTACGGGATGAATCATCGTCGAGTTCAGTGGAGAATTTTTTTTTAATAGCCCCTGGCTATTTCGTGTTTTTCCACTCAATTCAAACTACTAAGGTTAATTATTACCAGGCACACCTATCTTGGTACGAAAATTTGATCATGACCTTCATGATTAGTCACGAAACTCACGATACGTTTATCTTTTTAAAAATCTTGTTACTTCATTTTTTTTCCTTTTTTCCAATAAACGACAAATAATAACCAACCGATATTTTATATACAGTAATGTTTCCTGCGGTACATGCCTATACATATGTATGTATACAATATGCACTATACTACATCACACAATATATGTATATGAACGATTCCATCAGACTTCAACCACCCGTATTTTATTTGCTATGCTACATTTTTATTTTGAACGTAGAGATCCCGGAGACGGTGCATTGTATCAAAAAATGATAAAAAATGAAAGGTCTGCTTTTTTTTTTAGTATCTACAATAAAAAAATATTAAAAAAATTTTTTAAGTAATCTAAACCTAAAAACGGCCGAATCCACGTACCACAGCAGATAAAATACGGGTGGCTGAAGTCTGATGGAATCGCTCATATATATGTCTATTTATCTTTATCGGATATAGTGTCTAATAGCGTGAGCGCAATCTTAAAGTTTTCTGTTTACACGAAAGCGACAAGACTGTATGTTCCACTATCGAAATCGCGACAGTTAATCAAGAAATGGGTGTGGTTTCTATAATGACGGGTTGACCTAAGGTCGCGTAAAGGAATCGAAATTAAATTTCTGAAATATACAACAAAGATGAAAAGTTCGCCTAATTCGCAAAACAATTTCATTACTTTCATCATTGAAACTCAACAAAGGCGACCTTCTCTCAAGACGATGACGATACTAAATAATGACGATGATTGATGTAGGAACGCACGTATGGCAGGTATCGTCCACCGTCACGTATCGATCACGCGATTGCGTGAAGAAGCATATATTTTTAATAACGAGAAACGATTAAGGTTCGTGAAAAGAAAATATTTTCCAGGAATCTATCCTTTTTCGTAAATTGATGAGTTCCAAGTAAAGAAAAAATGTATGCTTCGATTATTATTATTATGCATTGCGATCACCGTGAACGATTTCAAAATAAAAAATATTACAATGGCACTTTTTCCGGGTTCCTTGAAAGATTGCAAAATTTAAAGAAGAAAATAAAAAATTGCATACAATTTCGTTTTTTCGAGTCATCGACTTATCGTGACCCCGAGAGCGCCGCATATGCGTGCGTGCATATTCTTCAATTAGTAATTAATGTTTCTATGATATATCTTATACAGTGTGTCATTTACGTACTAAAACATTTCATGAGTAACCGTTCCTCACTCACGCGGCGAGACGCGAATGCATGCTTTTAATTGGCCAAGTACACACAAGTCGCCATTTACGACAGTCGTATGTAACGTACCATAGACAGTGGCTTGTATATTATTCATCCCGAGAGCGGTCCAGCGTGCATTTCAGTTTGCTCTAATTGGAGAGAGCGTATCGTCAAGGCAAAGTGCATTAACAGGGAAGATAAAGTGAGCCAAGTTCCATTGGCAAAATTGAGAATGCAAAATTTTTATCCGTACTGTATATGTATAAGCGCATCTCGAAGTTGTAGAAACGAACGAAGAAAGGGGATCCAGTGCACATCACATTGTCGGCATCCTCTAATTGGAGAGAGCGTAGCGAGAAGCAAAGTGCATAACGAGCGAACAGCGGGTAGGTAAGTGCAGAAAAGTTGCATTAGATTCCCGAAATGAAAAAAAAAAAAAAAATCTCGAGAAATCTATTCTTCGAAGAAGAAAAAAAAACGATTTCTATGCATGTTTGCCTGGACCTTAAAAAGAAAAAAAAAGATAGTGACGATTACTTCTTCTCTGTTACATCCATCCAGGAGGAACGTGGAATGCTGGTGCAATTGCCTAGCAGCAGCAGATGCAGCGGGTCTTATCTCATGTGGGAAAACGTGGGCGACGAAAAGGCGCGTTTATCTTAAATGTTTAAATTGTGTTGACGTCAGCACGAAATCCCGTCGAGCGAACGCAAGAAGGCGTAAATTTGTTAGGGATCTTTTTAGTGGACAAAAAAATAAAGTATACATATATATAAATAAGGACGGAGAAACAGCTATGAAATTTGTGGTCTTAAAGGAAAAAAAATTGTTATAAAAATTAATTATCTACAGAAATAATGCACGTTGGTAGGTGATATTATGATCTTGGAATTTTAAGTGAAAAATAGTTACGGAAACATTTGATAGTCTTTAAGGACGATTTACAAGTTAAATTTGACGTAGTCGCTCCGTGCTGTTCAACCAAGTCCACACCCTTATGTCGCAAACGGGTATTAGAAATGCTGCGGGTGTGCCATGGAACACCAGTCACGTTTCTCAACAGAGACGCATCCTCGTTTCCAGACTAGATGGCGACAGAGTTTCCCTGTAATCCTTGACGACTTACGCTAAGAATTCCTAGCGATTTTTCAATGATCGTACAGAAATAATACAAAGTTTAATGACACGATCGAATCATGTAAATTTTTCATTTACAGAACAACCAAAATACTCGCGTTTCCTGCTGACCATTCATAAGCATATAGAAATATTAGAAAGTGATGGAAAATTCTAAAGTTCTTGCACGACGTAACAAGACTTTTCCTTGTTCAGAAAAAAAAAAAAAAAAATTGCATAAAACAGTTCGCGAGATAATCGTTACACTCGATAAATCTTCGAGCAATTCAGAAAGCCGGAAACCCAAGAAAATTCTAATCCAATGAATCACATGGAATTTCAACGTTTCCGGGTAGTCGCATTAGTAAAAATGTTTTTCATTCAACGACAATGGTGTAAAGTGGGTTAGCGATGAATGTCAACAACGTTGAATCGAAAGGTACCCGGTGGTAACGTCTAATTAGGAATATTCTTAATGGTCCTTAATGAGTTTCTTATCAGTTATCACTGTAACTTAAAACACACCGATCGTAATTTGTCACAAGTATAAATTGTCCTGGGTCCTACGTAAATACCTAAAGTATATAATAGCTGGTATGAAATTTGGTCTATCGTTGTTCGTAATGTCAATGCTACGGACTGATCTATTAATAGGTTCCATTAACCTGTACCAGTGAGAAGATATCTCAGTACACGAAAGGTATTAAGTGAACACACAATAAATAATGTAACCGTCTCCCAGCCCGCATCCGCTCCACATAGTCGTTACAATATCTATAGCGTCCCACTAGAGCGCGTTCATGCGTCCAGCCTTACGAGCATGGCCGGACAGTTAAGCCTGACTTTCTTGGGTGCGAAGGGAAGAACCAACGGAGATGAAATATAAGAAAATGATTGAAAGTGAGAATTAAAAAAAAAAAAGAAAAATGAAGCATTAACGATATTTTCAAAAAATAAAAAAAAGTCGAGGTCTAGTTAGAAGTATGGAACATAAAATTAAATATACCTTGTTGATAATACCAACAGTCTAATGAAGCATTAGTCTAATGTTATATTATATAAGATCGTGTTTTTCTTCGCCTTAAGACCTATTCGCATTGTCAACGAAGGCGAAGACATTGTTCTACGTAGGTATGCCCGTTAACAGGAAGTGAATGCACCCAGTGAAATAATTACAGCACGTTGATTGGTTCGTTATATTTTCACAAGCATTCGAAGGATGCGGGAAAATGGTAGCGCGTGCAATTGTAACAATGGAAAGTGTTTGTCGACGACGCGAGCGGGGAGGGGGGGGGGGGGCCTAAT